GAAAAACTTCAAACCCAAAACCGCTTATTAGATAATTCTTTACAAGATTTAACCGATGCAGAAACTTACCAAAAAATCAAAGCCAAAGTAAATGAAATTAAGTAGCATGAGTAATTTAAATATATTAGTTTCACTAATTAAAAAATTGAAATATAAAGACCATGGAAAGGTCGTGTTGGAATTTCTTGGTGATGATCAGGTGGAAGGAGATGATACTAGTATTCCATTTATAGAAAATCAAACTGAAAAATACCAAAAAACATGGCAAGAAGCCATTGATTTCATTTGCTCTATCTATGAACACCGATTAATCTTTAGAGTAATCACTGATGAACCGATGAAATTTAGTGATTATAGAGAAAAACAAATAGAATTATTAAAAACCGAAATAACTAACTACTATGACCAAAATTAACGCCCAAGAATATATCGATAAAAACCTAACCGACAAATCCCTTAAAATAATCAATCTCTTAGCTAACGGAGAAAAGTTTTCTAAACATTTCTTCGAAGACTATGCGGAGGATGGACAAATCGCAGTAGAGGGAAAATTAACTGGTGATTTAGCAATCCAAGACTATCCCAATTTAGCCGAAATTAATTTAGTTAACCACGAACTAACTTCTTTAACGATTACTAATTGCCCTAATTTAAAGGAAATTAATCTTCGCCATAATCAATTAACTAAATTAGAAATCAATGACCATAATAAAATTGAACAAATAATTGCGGGTCAAAATGAATTTAGCACCTTAGATTTAACCAACTGCCCTCAGCTTAAAGAATTAATCATTCCTGATAATCCTTATCTTTTAGAAATTAAAGGATTAAACTTATCTACTATTAAGAATATTAATATTAATAATACTTCGGTTAATTTAGCCCAAGATTATGAAGAACTAAAAATCGAAAAAGAAGAGTTATTAGGAGTAATAAAAAACTTAAAAGAAGGGGGAGAAGAAGGAAAATTAATGTTGACCGAAGCCATTGAAAGTAGCGACCAAGTTGAGGAAGCCATTCAAAATCATTTACAAAAAACTGAACAAGAATGAAGAGAATATTTGAAGCATCCAGAAAAGGCTCTACCGGCTTTCCAAGTTCCTGAAAGTCGTCAAAAGGTTAAAAAAACATTAATTTGAATTGCCGAAGCCCAAACTAGTCGAGACTACCAAGAATTAGCCGATAAATGGAATGAAGGTGAAAAATACAATGGCGAGAATGATTTTGATTGTGGTAGTTTAAAAACCTTAATGGATTATCTAAAAATTAAAGATTATTTTACCAAAAAAGAAGGACAATCTACCCTGAATAAAAAATTAGCAACTTATGAACCAAGAATTAGCAAATAACCAAGAAATATTAACCAAAGAACCCTCAATTACCCCATCTGAAACTGGTCTCAACCAAAAATTTTTTAAAGAAGTAATTGAAAGTAGTCAACTTTCGGAAGAAAGTAAAAAAAGATTAGGAGATTTAGATAAAGGATGAAAAAACGATCAAGTTAAGGAGACTTTAAAAGAGGAAGATAAGTCTAAAATCCAAACTTATGAAGAGTTAGAGGTTAAAGATTTACCCAAAGACTGAAGAGCTCAATTAACTCGTTTAAAACATTTAGAAAAGTTATTAGCTGATTATGAACCGAAAGTAGAAGAATTAAAAACTTGAACTGATACTTTTGAAGCACAAAAACCGAATGAAGTCCAAGCAAAGTTTACTAATTTAGAGGAAGAATATAGCACTTTTAAACAAAAATCAGAAGAACAAATTCAAGAACTGACTAACCGAAGCGAACAAGCCGAAAATAAAGTCCAAGCATGAGAACAAACCTTTCCCGATCAGACGGCTTTAACCGTTCAGCAGGAAAATAAGGAATTGAAAAAAAACTTAGGAGAATGAATTGAAAATTGAGGCGGTAAAGAATTAGAGGAAGTTAGAGCCGAATGAGAAGAATTGCAAAAAAGACCAGATATTGCGATTACTGAACAAGAATTTTTGGATGATTATGCCAAACGAGAAAAGAAAACCCAAAGTAAACTAAAGGATGAAAAGTTAATCCAAGTCCAAACTAATTTGGATGAAGAAAACGAAAGAAATAAAAAATTAGGGCAATCAATTAGTCAAATTTTAAATAATGTGATTGTGCAAAGATATGCTCTGCCTAGTCAATTTAAACCAGTTGCTAACGCAGAACAAGCTCGAGAAGATATTGGAAAATCATTAGAGGAGACCAAACAAAAATGACAAAATTATTTGGAAGGCAGTGGTGAAATTGTCGATTTACAAACTTTAGCATTAGCTCTTAGTTTAAGTTTCCAACCCGAGAAAAAAGAATTAGCCTACCAAGTTTTAGATTGGATGGATGAAGCCAAAGAAACTGGCGATTATCAAACTTTATTCGAAAAATGAAGTGGCGAAGCAGAATATAACCAAGAAAATGACTTAGATGGCAGTTTACGTTTGCTAGAAAAAAGGTTGGAAAAGATGAAAGAAGAAGAAAAGACACTATAAAAACATGAATGGAAAGTCAAAAGATTTATTGGAACAAGCAACAGCCCGAATTTTGGCTGAGCAGGAAAATATCGAAACTGGTTTAAATCAGTGAAAAAAAACCTTCCCTAATCAAACTCCTCAGCAAGTTAAAGTTGAAGATGAATTAGAAAAAGAAACTTCGGCAAAGCAAAAACCCAAACTTAAGAGTTTAGAGGAATTAATGGCTAGTCGGAATAGTCGGAGTAATCTCAAAAAAGAGTGTAAAATCTGTGACATTTGTTCTCAAATCAGACAAGATTTCTTTAAATATTCTCGAATCTCAAATAAAGGATTTAATATTAATCGTGTTTACCGAATTTGCTCTTTTTGTCAAAAAACTGTTCAAACAGTGGCAAGTGAAAAAGATGCGAATCCAGAAAATAATTTATTTAATCGAAGAAAAGTTTGAAGAAAGTTTAATTCAACAAAAAACCATTGAAGAAAGGGATGATGAAATAAAAACCAAAGATGAAATTATTTTACAAAGAGAGCAAACTTTAACTAATTTACAAGAAGAAATCACCGAAAAAACCAACCGCATCGCCCAATTAGATAAATTATTTAAAGGCACTGCTAAAATATTTTCTAAACAACATAATTTCGTTGACCATTTAAAGGAAAAACTTAAAAAAGAACAAACTGAAAAAGGGATTAGTGAAGAAAAATCTAAACATTTACAAGCTGATATTGAACAATTAGACCAGCAAAAACAAAAGTAAATGGTAATCTTTTCAAAGCACTACCTCAATAATCTTTTTTACCGAATTTATTTACTTTTGAAAGTAAACTCTCAATGCCTAAGTCATCAAGAGCAAAACCTTGTGTGATTTCAATAAACTCTCTTTCTTCCTCATTCAATTCCAACCCTTTACTTTCGCTAATCCCTTTCTCGGTTAGTTCTTTAACAGTTTTAGTTAAATTGGTGATTTTTTGGTTATCGGAATCAATAATAGCGTTCTTTGATTTAATCGTTTGTTTTAATTCCTCTATTTCTTTATCCCGGATGGCCTTACTGTT